GAGTTAACAAATCGACCGTCGCTGACCACTTTAAGGCAATTGTAAAGGTGAAAAAGCTCGAATGTAGGTTCCTCGTGCATTAAACGAACCCCCCAAAATTATCGTTATAAAGCTTACGAAACACTTCTTTGCCGAAACAGAAATGAACCTTTTCTGTATAGAAATATGATGAAAAGTGTTTTCTCCACAACAGCAGACGTACTGAAGTGGCTCGACAATGGAGAAACACTACCATATTATTCAAAGCCCCAACTCATAAAAAAGTTGATGGTGACTTTTGGCTGATTTACTACAGCTTCTTGAATTTTGGCGAATAAAACAATGCCGAAATTGGCACATGAGATGATATGGGGGCTGTGTAGGTATTAGTGATGTTTGTCAGTGTGCTTGGTGGATTAAGTAAGGGGAACTTTTTGATTGTACTGGTCTTTTTGACCTTCGGTCCTTTTTCTTTTTAAATTGTGGAATGTTTTTAATATTGTAAATGATGTTTTTGAGTAATTGTTAATTTGCGTATTTATGAGTTTTTTTAGGATTGAATTGTAATCTGCGTAATTTCATCTTCCGCCGTTCTCCCTAAACAATTTTATATGTTCCTTGTATCTATCTTTTATTTTTCGTGCTATCTGTATCCGATGTGTCTCCTTATTCGCATGTTAGTGCGTATATTCTCTTTTTTTTCTAGTTGGTCCATCTTGTCTGTTTTTACGTCAAATCTCTTGAATAAGTTACTTTGTACGTTTGTTTCCCATTGTAAGTGAAATGTGACCAATTTTCTGTCCGTTTTGTGATGTTTCGTTTTTGTGGGCGTGTTTTGTTTATTATTTTGTTGATTGTGTGTATCTTATAGCTGTGTGCCTTATATAAGACATTAGCAGGCGATAATAGTGTCAAAAATATAAATTTCCATTTATCTAAAATATTGTTGATTTGGCTTTAGAGTAAAAGTAATTCAAAACCAGGAAGTTGATTGATCCATTTTCAATGCAAAATAAAAAAACGCCTTAAACTCCTGGCCCAACACAAACATATTTAACCAATTTACATAAGAATTTAAATTTAAGTCGATTTGGAAATATGTAGATAAATTCAATTGCGAAGGGCGTCCGTGCGGAAATTGGGCTGGAAATATTTATGGTACTCGAAGAAAGGAATAACTAATGGCCCTCATCCTAAACGTTTTAAATTCCGTTAAACCCACATGCGCGCAGTCGGTTTCCATCCCAATTAAAATGTAATCAAGTTTCAAAAGCCCCAACTCTCAACGGTTGAAAAAGGCTTCCACCTTCCTAAGACTCTTCTCTCTATAAAACGGTAAGAACTGGAATCTCACTACAGACGGGAAAATGACTGAATTAAAAAAAATAAATAAATAAATCTAAAAAAAAATATTTTGGTCATTTTGCAAACATTCATGCTATCATATAAATCTTGAACTGAACCTGAATAATCAAATGAATCAGGAGTGTTAACAGTCTGGTAATTTTGGGACAGAGTCCGTCTTAAAAGAAATTTGAAACCCATTATTAAAAACTTAATTATATCAATTTGTAGGCAGATTGCTTTCCCAGTATGATGATCTCAAAATAGTTCGAAAACTTGGCAGTAACAATTGAATTTGTTTTTTCATCCAGACTATACCTCATGTGACACAGAAATAAAACTTGTTACTCGAAATTTATTTATGATTCTTAAATAAAAATCCACGCTCACGAACACGTCATCTTTTTTGTTCGTTAGTCTTGCCTTTTTAACAGTTATGTTCAAAGAAAAATCGATTACCCCACATGGGCGATTACAGCAAACCTGACATATTTCGATTAATACCACCATTAAAATAGCCATTCATCATTATCAACTTTGACACGCCAACCAGTACTCATTCGACAAAATCATTATTATCTACCGAGTCCTAAGCAAGTCTGACATGAATACTTTGTCAAAAAAAATCTCTTAATCTAAATTACGTAAATGGTAAAGGGAATCGGAACGATGTTTTCATTGGGTAAATTGACAGTGCCCGATCGCGATAACAGTATGAAAATGATAACAGTTTTTCTAACGTAAAACACCAGAAAACGATCTGACCAGTTTCGACATTTAAAACGTGGCAAATCAACAGTATTTATTTCCAGACGAATCACACTTCAAGTAGACCAATTCAACAAAAGTTGAACAATTGAAACAATCCTCAAACAAATAACTAACTATAACATCAAACCGCTACATCCAGACTTGACTGGGAGTGCCTATACTGCCTACTCTGGGAAACTAAAACGAAATTCCTTGAAGTGGGTTCCAGAACATGAAGGCGTGGAAATTAACAGGCTGACCAACTAGCCAAAAAAGAGGCAACCCTCTCACCCAAGGGACCAGAACCACAACTAAGTATTCCGGAGTGCGTGCTTAAGTTGGAACTAGAAAAATTGGATTGAGAAAGAAAAACTCAAATATTGGACAAAAGTCCAGGTATGAGGCCAGCTAAAAGATTTATATACATCTAAAAGCGGAAGGGGAAGGAACTCTTTTCTCTTATGAGGTTAGCTCTATATCCTGTGAGCAATTTCTGGCTCCATTTTCCATAATGAACCGCAACAATCCATAGCCCTTTTGACAATAAGGCCTCCAATGAGATTGCATGTCAATAAATCAGCATGTGCAATTGCAACCTTTTGTGACCACCCTTTAAGCATACAATTCCAGGGTGTTGGGTTCGAGCTGGAATCTTTTCTGAACTAAAGAATTGAGTTCTCTAATACGTCTTCTGTTTTCTCCTACTGAGTTCTTTTTTAGAACGACAGGTGTCTCTTCCTCAGAGACGGCCATAATCACATTCGACTTCGACTGTTACCTCCCTACTCTCAAAGAAATTAACAATTCAAAAAATAAGAAATCCCCTGGCCCAGACAATATACAAAACAATTTGCTCACCAAAGCCTTAGTATAAACTTCTAGAGATTTTTATACTGAAGCCTACTGAATTACTCAGTGATCCAAACAGCTACAGGCCGATTAGTCTGCTCACAGCTATTTAAAGTGTTGAAAGAATACTGTTAGCTAGGATCAATCGTCATTTGGATGTCCACTAGAATATCCGATATGAGCAATTTGGGTTCCGGTCAGGACTTATTCCATCACCGCGCAATTATCCAGTGTTGTTGATGACATAACTAGGGTATTTAACCAACGAAAGCAACTGTCTTGGTTTTGATAGGCGTTTGACACAGTTTGCATGCTGAAATAATAAGCAGGCTGACAGACTACAGCTCCCCATAGCACATCAGAATCATTCACTCATATTTATCTAATGGGAAATGTGGAATCTTTCTCAACTCAAACTTAATTCAAAGTTTGACGCTTCTGCTTCTGTCCCATATGGAACTATAATAGGACCTGTCCTTTTTCTTATATTTGTCCATACAATGCCAAGTTCTAATGATTTCAGGCTGGCCTTGTACGCTGTAGACATTGCCATCTACAATTCGTCCTGGAGAGTGGATACAATGACCAGCAGTTACAAAGGTCACGTCATGTATTGGAGGTTATGTTACAAATGTAAGATTAAAATGAATCCCACAAAAACGGAGGCTATCCTCTTTACTGAGCGCAGGGCGGTATGGTAAAACGCGCCACAAACAATTTATATGAAAGCTGTGAAGCTAACCAGTAACCAGTCAGTTCGACAAATTGGGAACACTGACATGGACTTTCCTTACAGGAATAGAAGAGTGAAAAATTCTCTAGTTTAAACTTCGCTTAGGGTTTTTCTTACATGTGTTAGCCATAAATTAATTTTTGTTTTGTTTTATTGATCTCTAAAAAAAAAATTTGTTGGAGCAGGAGGTTATAGTATAAACTGGCACTCACTGTTGTAAATATTTTGAATAAAGATTCTATTCTATCGTAATTTCTTGTTGCCACAATAATAATTTCAGTTCTGTTAAAAGCTATCTGCACTTCGACTCCTGAATAGCCTACCTCTGCCAGTTCTTTGGCGAGTAATTCTTTCACTTCATTCTTCGGAATACTCCATCCTATACAAACTTCTTCTAACAGATGTGAACAATTTAAAAGCCATTTTCGAAGTAAATAGTTACGACCGAGGTAAATCCGAAGGGAAAGGAAGCGAACGAGACGATCACACCAATAAGGCATAGAATCATAGAAGGAAGTCATATTCTGTGAATATCCCTAACCATCCCTACTCATTTTTTTAAGCACTTATTAAATACAAATGCAATAACATTTCATCTTCCTTATATTTATATTTCTACGACTAGAATGTCCAACAAGTTAAGACTTTTTGGAAAAAGAGCCAAGTGTGATTGTAGTAAATGAATGGGATTCCAAGACCCCTCCGAGTCTTTTCAAAACTTCAACTACGCATTGTGTAATTGACTATATTAATTGCAAGTCACCTGGGAGTCGTAGGAGTGACTTACCGGATACAAGTCTAAGCGGTAGTTCCGGCGGTTAATAGGCTTTAAGGGGGTTTCCTTGTTCCTGGGGCACGTGGTGCAGGTGTCCGGGCCAATTACTCGCGGTAGCCCCTTCTACCCGCGACTCCGTCTCTTCAGGTGTGTGTGGGAAGAATTTAACTCACCATCAGATAATCCCATCGGTTCTCATCGTTTATATGCAAGTGTCTTATCCTGAGGAAGGGTCGTCGAATTTTTACAAGAGCACTTTTTTTTTTTTTTTTGAGTTTCCATTTTTACCTTTTTAAAAGCTGAAAACCGAAGGTATACAACAGTTGAAAGCAGGTTTAACGGGTATTTAGGAGGCTAATAATTATGATATTAACAGGGGTGTAATTAACGTAGTAAACCTTGGTATTACTGGATATACAATATTAATTGACTCATGCATAAGCAGCGGGTTAAAAAGGTCCACCGACTCCTAATGATTGTTATCAAATTTCAATTTTTCAACGATTAAAGGAAGAAATGAACGAGAAAACAAATAATTTAAAAACATAAATATAAATAAAGAAAACTCACCTCGCATTTGGCTCGGGTAACACGATGTACTGTTGACTCCATCTGAAACAGAAAATATAACCAATCACCAAAATGCTTGCTAAGAAAAGGTTGTCGAATTATTTATTTTATCGATAATATAATTTTTTGCTCAGCACAGTAAACCCTGTACTGAGAGTTTAATTTACATTTGCTACTTATGATTACAGACGTCTTTAAACTTTTTTTTTTTTTTGCCGACATCTAGGTAATTTCAGCCCCCAACTAAGTCTATATTCTATTTACCCTTCAAACACTACATTCATACAAATAAATACATACAAATACATAAATACATCCATACAGTACACTCATTCCGTTTGGCCGGTGGAGTACTTGATATTCCTCCACCGACCTATACTCAAACTAATCTAGATCGGGGTCGATGGAGTGCTTTTATAAATATTCCGCCATCGACCCCGAACACACATTCATACGCTCTCAACGTTCGAGGGGCAATGATGACGTTATATTTCACCCTCGCCCCTCGCCATTCACGCTAATAAATAAATGCCCTCAGACAAAACATATAGACACTCAACACATAAGACTATATACAATTTAAAAAAAGCAATTTCCCCTAGAAAGCAGAACAGGGGACCCAGAAACCCGCTACAGTGCTCGAGTACGATTTTCAGATTGGATGGCATGCCTACACGCTCCCTGTAGGGGGCCAGAGCATGACGTTTCGAAGTGGGACACATCGAGCAACCTTTCTCTGCATAAGGGGCACCTGCGCGGGCTTTGGCCCAAGAGCAGGTGCCCGTTTATAAAAAATTAATAATTTAAGTTTTAGCATAATGTATTATTGAACTCAATATTTACTGTGGGAATGATAGTGATTTAAATAAGATCGGTGGATTTAGTGAGTTAAAAGAAATTGTTAGCTATTGTTTTCATATTTATAATTTTTCAAAAATCCATTGTTAGTGAAATTTGTCTGTACTAGGCAGTAAGTTGTTGGCCGGGTTGTAGTGCGATTGCCTTTCCATTTTCAATTTCTCAACTTTAAAATGTGCATATATTACGTGCTCCCAAGTTTGTAGCCCATGAGTACTGCATATGCATGTCTCTCTGTGATGTGGATTCGTGTTAGGAATAGAGCAGGTTTTCCGTTTTCAGTTAGCACCTGTGTATTCTTCCATGTGAAGTGATGACAACAATATTTTATTGTTGGAAAAATTTGTCGGTTTTTCATCAGTAGTCTCCGTATACATGACCTCCCATCCTTCCAATTGGTACCCTGAATTGCTTCCGAAAAATGGGAAATATTGGGTTCGGTCCAAATAACATTATTGGGGGTCCCCACCAACTCATAATATCAACTACTTTTAGTAAAATTACTGTCTCAGGGAGATATTCCTGTGGGCAGTAATGCTTTTATTTTGTTAGATGGATGATGCCCTTCATTAGCTTTCAACGGTCATTCCATTTCTGTGTTACTCTTTTTCTGTTCACATATTCCATTAAATTTCTTTTTTCATTTTGATTAACAATGTTGCATGGAAAGAGATATTCCAGTATCCTTTCATCATCCTAGGTAGTAGTTTCCTTTGTCTTAGGGACTACGTTCGCCTTTCCTCATAGCTTTAGCCCAAACCAGTGCTGCCATCACCTCGAGTGCCCCACTAGGTGGCCAATAAACGAACCAAAATGAACCCTCTAAGCCCTGAACCCAACTGTGACACAGCATCTTGCCACAAAAAAAGGATGCATCTAAAAATGGATCCTTATTGAGTCCAAAACCTGGTTGAGCACACCCCAGGTATGAGGCACGCGGAGTGATTCATAGAAGGGCCATCCGGAAGATTTACCATGGAATTACTGGAGGGCAACCGCGACAGAACCAGGATTCTGGTTGGACTCCTAACAGAGCACTGCCGCTTAAGAAGATACATGCACCGGATAGGAGGACAGACAGAAGAAACACTGTGCACATACTGCCAGGAAGAAGAGGGTCCCGATACCCCAATAGACTTTAGCTCTTCGCAACATCCTATTGATCAGCTCTTGTGCCTTTTTACTGATAAAATTAATGTGGACTTTCCATTAGAGCTTTTTGTCCTCCAGTACATCCAGATACATTAGAGTTTTAAACTCTTCTAGTAGTTTGCCTGATGTAATATGGTATTCCTAAGGTTTCGCTTTCTGGTTATAGAAGGACTTAGCTCTTCTCAGGTCTGAAGGACAGATATACTCCCAGTCCCATTTTTCCAACAGATAAAGATTTTCGTTTGACGTTGATTGTGCTTCATTTTAGGATTTGCCTGATGCCACAAATTACAGATTGCCTGCAAAAGCTATCACTTTAGTATCCGATGGGCACCGGACCCTACAGGTTACAACCGGGTCGTACATTGTTGACTAAAATCCCGGTCGGCAGAAAGATTCCTTTGGGCAACTTATTTCTTGCTTTTTGTGACCTTCGTCGTTGACGTGCGTAGAATACTGTTCTTTGAAGTATGCTTTGGCTAGATTGTATATGTCTTTGGAGCATTTTTTCTTCTTGCAATTGCTTGAGGATTGTGGGCTACCAAGGCCAAATCAAAGGCCCTTTTCACGTCCAGTGATGCCAGAAGGATAAATTCCTTAGTTAGCTTTCATTCTTCTGGTAACACGTTCGTTAATATTGTAATGCGTCAACAGACGATAAGTAAGTCCAAAAAAGGAAAGAGTGGCAATTTATACTTTTAAGTAGAACTGTAACAGACATATACTTTGAAATGTTTATGGAGTCAGGGGCCCTTTAGTATATTTAATGCTCAGTGTGTTATTATGTTTTATTCTAGAAAAAAATGTTATTTTGGACAAAAAAATAACTGAAACTTTAAAACATAAAAATGATCCTACATCTACATCCAAATGAATTGCTTCCGATTGCACAAATTTATTTATCGAGTCTTTGAAAAGCTGTTTTATTCCACAACGGTCCCTCTGTAGGTTTAATTGTTAATTATCTATAATTGAAAGGAATAAACAAAATTTTATTGGCTACAAAAATCGGAACACAGAAGAAGGTAGATAAGTGAACACTTGCACTTAACAAGGACAAGAGTGATCATGGCTACTTTTAAGTGCAACCTTCGTTGCTACCGGGCGCTCCTAGATTTCCGGAGGCACTTCAGGGTCCGTTTAATGGTGATCATTAATGATGTTTAAAGAGTGAATATTATTCAATTGTCCGGAGGCGACTAACCGGACCTCGGAAGTCGAAAATTACAAAGTCAGAACAAACATTCCGATTGTTAATAACCATTATTGTTAATCGCTTGATGCCTCGTCTCAAAGAAAAAAGAATTAATTTTCACACTAGCGCTTTTATTTGTGTAGTTGTTCAACTAGGTTTTGAGCACAAATGACCGCTTTAGAAGAAAAATCATAAAGCCTTTAAACCATTAGGGGTATTTATGATTTATGTTTGATGTTAATGTTTGTAAAGTCTAAAGTATTCAATAAGATTGTGAAAGCCCCATTTCTTATTTCGATAATAACATGTTAGTTCTTCACCGTAGTGCTGCCCGTTGTGATTAGTAGAACAAAAACTGTTATCGAAAGTAAAGCAGTTCTCGAAGATATGTTAAGGTTAGTAAAGCTTTCGTTTTCAGTTGAAAATGAAGAGTTTTTTCAAAATATCAAACGTCAGTCGGAAGAAAGTCTTTGAATCAAAATCCATCATTGATTTGTGTAAAAAATTGTACGGTGAAATGGAAGAAGTGCTGGTTGAATGTTTACAAGAATGACATTTTAAACTAACTTTAACTATTAAAATAAGCAAAGACAAATATCCGAAGTGATCAGGTTAAGAAGAAGATAGAATACCGGCATCGTGAATCGAGTAATGAACCTTACTGCAAAGGATAACCTAAATACACAACAATACAGTTGAAAAGTTGAAAGATCTCATGCCTCCACTATAAAGCTACGATGCTAGGTCGGAAATAAACAAAATAAATGTATTGGTCGAATTTAATTATTAAAAAATATAAAAATACATAACAACTAATAACCAGCTGTTCAATTCATGCCGACCATGTTTGTTAGCTGAGTCCTAACGGCTAATAGTCTGACTACACTGCTAGTCGATTCGACTTAACAGCTGACACGGGTCAACCCCCTTAGATGGAGCAAATGGAGCAATATTAAATAGCATAATTTTTCTCGATTTAACACGACCAAACACAATGATCGTGAAAACGAAATCGTTGGCTTCATCAACGTTCCAATAACTTGATATGGACAATGAAAACTGTAGAAAGACCAGGCATATTGAATATCATATAAGTAGTAGTTTTTGCTATTTTTTTAAGTAATAAGTAAACCACAGTTGACAGATGCAATTTAACAGGTTACGACTTATGATACAGTTGGCTTCACCAATTGTCTCCTCTCTGTACATTTGCTAAACCGTGGGGTGATTTTTTTAGAGGGGGGGTTTCATGAATACATCTTACTTCCATTTTGAAGTTCAAATTAATTTTTTTTAGAAAGAGAAAAGAAAATTTCGTATATTTACAGTGGAGGTTTAATGTGGTCATTACTTGCATAATTGTAGGTTGTGCCCGTGTATTGTGGGACTGTAGGAATGACAAGAGCTGGTTAATTTACATTAGTTATTACACGGACTCCCGGTACGACGAGCTGCTGTCATTAAGAATTACCCGGCTTCCGGTGGAGTCATCGGTGAAAACAAAAAAGAAAAACCCGAATTAAATAGTCGTAATATCCCTGAACCTTGGAACAGTGGAAATAACATGGTTTCGTTTCATTATCTGTCTAATGTATCGCACCGGGTACTAATTCAAACTGGCATGCAATAATATAATTTACTGTCCCACATATCTCTTCTGCGCCCAGAGTGTTCAATTATCAAAGGTAATTATACACAGGAGTTGGCATGTCGACGTTGTTACATCACCGGCAAACGGCGTGTTTCCAATCCACAGATCGATGATGGAATTTCAAACGCAAACCAGAATGTCACAAGGTTCCAAAGCAAAACAAAACATTCAAAAATAAATTATTTA